CCCAGGAAGAGAATGGAGAAGGGATTGTGGCATGGCCTTACCCCCAGAGGGTGTTTCTTACTTTCCCTCTCTCTGTCTCTCTCTCTCTAGTGAGCACATTTGCCCTATAACAAAAGCCTTAAAATTAAAAAAAAAAAAAAGGATGATTTGTTCATACAGAACACCTTTGACCCACCCTCATAAACAAATAGAAGGTGGTCGGTTTGATCAATGTGTCCAGGACAGGATGAGGGAGACTTTCCCTGGACCCATGGATCTATGGCTTAGACCTCTGTATGGCTGGGTCCTGGGCTGTGGGCAGAATTGACCGTACACTCCTCCTTTCAGGAAATGGCTTTTGCCATGGCCCTCAGAGCTTGCAGGGCATGCTCCTTGGATAACAAGACCTCATTCCTAAGATGTGTACCTGTTGTGAGGAAAATGCTCAGAGGAAGAGTCTGGTCCCTGTTGGGCTTCAGCTGGGGTTCCTCTCATATGCACTGGCCAGTGGTTGTGTGAATGTACTCGATCCTTCGGCCTCGGAGCCTCTGCTTCTTCATCAATACCGTGTGAATAATGGGCTTCTCAGGACTGACTGGGAGATTTAGTGGCTTTGGAGTTAGTAGCATGGCTGTCGTGGGCCTCTCTATGGGCTCACTGTGTGTGCCTCCTCCCCTGGTCAGAGACCCCTGGCTTGTCCTCTCCTCACCATCATGGCAGCTTCTCACGGTCTCTCAATGTTTCACTAGCTTGCCCATCTTCACCAGACCATTCCATCTCTGAGGCTCTGCACCTGGCCCAGGGTGTGGGGCATCATACATGATCAAGATACGTGTTCATGTGTGCTCTTTCAGCATGGGGAGTTCTGCCTTGATAACCTACTGCTTCCTGAGTGCCCTTGTCTGTCTCAGAACGTCGCATCACTCTCTGAGATGAAGAACTGCCATGTTGGAGAATGTTCGTGGCTAGATAAGGCCTGGTGGGGCCTGTAAGTACCAGCTGAGCCCTTGCATGGTGAGAACTAGCAGCAGCGTGGGCAAAATTGTAGCGCCTTGAAGGGGCAGTGCTAATTCAAAGTTTCTGAAATATAATGCCATCACCCGGAAAGGTCAAGTGCATTTTGGGGCCTTCCAATGGAGGTTTGTAGGAGTTGGAGGTGTGTTTGTCCCCAAGGACCGAAGGGTCTGCCCTCCACTGTTCAGAAGGAACACTGGCAGGAAAACCTTCCTGCAGCTTCCCTGGACTGAGGGCTGGCCATGGCAGGGAGGCAGACACCCCAAGGGCAAGAGGGGCATGTCCAGGACCCAGAGTGATGCAGAAGCCAGGTCTGGGCACTGAGGTCAAGACAGGAATCTTAAAGGGGAAGTAGGGGGACCAGCAGTTGGCCTAATGGCTATGTCGCTGGACTCCCATGTAGTCGACTGCAGTTCCTGTCCTGGACCTGGTGGCTTAAACTCCCGCCCAGTGTGTGTGCGTGCGTGCCCAAGATCCTGAGGGGAGAATGGAGGATGAAGAAGTAGGGATTGCTACGTAGCCATTCCCCTGCCCCCCCCCAGGGGGTGATTTTTCGCTTTCTGTCTCTCTGTCTCTCTCTTTCTGGTAAGCGCACGTGCCCTATAGCAAGAACCTCTCCCCACCCCCAAAAAAAGGGAGAGTAGGAACAGCTGCCCCTGCTTCCCGCCTCCCCCCTCGGCCCCCTGCAGGGTTTGGAGAGCGCTGAGACCCTCCCTGGTTCTCTGAACTTGGCTGCACTCACTGACATCTCTCTCTCTTCCCTACATGCTCACCCCCCCATCCCTGGATTTCTGCAGCTTAAAGGCTTAGGCATGACCTCAAAAGCTGTGCGTGTGCCCTGCTGACTCCCCCTCTGCCCTGTGGGCACCTGAGCAGACGGAAGGCTCAGCCCCACTCAGCCATGCAAATGCCATGCCTTTGAACGTGGTCAGGGGCTCTTGATCCCAGGGAGTCCTTGGGGGAGAAAAGTTTCCTCAGGAACCTGGGGTTCAGCTGCTTTGAGACCCAGATGCCAGTGTGGCCGGCTATACCTCACCCCCTCCCCCAACTAGGCCAGTCCTGTCTTCTCTTCTGCTTCCACAGACCAAGGCTGTATGTCCTCTGGAGTGATGGGATTGCCCCCAGGGTAACCTGCACCCTGGCTGGGCTCAGCATGACCTCGCTTGACACTTAGCCACCAGGTGCTGTGGCACTCCCCGTTTGTAGGTGAGATGAGAGCCTCAGGTGTTAGCAACTTGCCAAGGTCACAAGGGGCAGCAACACTTCCAGAAACCAAAGTCCATTTGCATCTAAATCTAAAGACAAGTTGGTTTTTTGGTTCTTTTTTTTTTTTTTGAGAGGTCTTTGCTATAGGGCGCATGCACTCACCAGAAAGACAGAGAGAGACAGAGAGACAGAAAGCGAGAAATCACCCCCCAGGGGGGATGAATAAATCCCCCCCAGGGGGATGGCCATGCAGCAGCAATCCCTTCTCCATTCTCCTCTCTGGAGCTTGGGCACGCACGCACACACACACACACACACACACACACACCTGGTGTGAGTTTAAGCCACTGGGTCTGGGACTTGAACTCCGGTCTGCTACATGGGAGTTCAACGACATAGCCATTATGCCATCTGCTGGTCCCTAATGGCTGCACTTGAGTCTGCAGTTCAGAGTTGTCACTTGCCACCTGCAGTGGGAGGGATGGACTTCCTGCTGCACTTGACCTTGGTCACAGGACCCAGAAGCGAGTCAGAAGTCCTCTTGGGCATACTCAGTGCTCCATACCCACCCTCATATCAGTTTCTAGAGAGTCTGACTCCTGAATCAGGAAGTGGACTGGCTCCAGCTACCACCTTTCTACCAGGGAGGGGGCTGGCATCTCTCTGTCAGCAAACTTCGATATCCAGAGTGCGCACACACAACGAGGATGTGTGTTTTCCCACCTCGCACTTTTGCAGCAGGTTGCCACTGAAGAGGCAGAGGCCCACAGAGGTTCAGTGACTTGCCAGTCACACAGGCCTTGGGAGTTGAGCCAGGGCTCCAGTCTACAGTGAGGAGTGATTGCTATGGCTGGATGCCCTGGGCTGGTCACTTTCCTCTCTGAGTCTCATCTAGAGAGCAGGGACATGGACGACTGCAGTGCCTGCCTCGTGGCTTCGGCATGTGCCAGGAAGACTTGGGTGGGTACAGAGGATGACAAGCCCCGAGGGGCTGGGAGCTCTGCTGCTTACCTGCTGTCTTTTCTGACAAAACTTTCTGGCAAAACATTCCCATAGCAATGTGTAAGGCTGGGGTGGTGTTCTCTCCCCTCTGCTGCCCTCCGACACATACACGGGGCCCAGAGCAAGGCAGTGAGGCCGAGCAAGCAGGAGTCTGTTCCTACCCAGGACAGAACCATTTATAACCCATGTCCCCTGCTCGCTGGAGGCCAGTCGAGGCCATATATCCATATATCCAGTGGCAGAAAGGCTGCATGGCTTCATCCTGATTTGCAAAGAATTCCCAGGATTGAATAAATCACCACTGGCTCTCAGAATCGCTGGTTTGGAGAGTCAGGAAATATTTTGAATTTTCATGGCATGAATGTCTGTTGATCTGCAGAGAAATATCCCAGACAGCTACATTTCTCCTGGAAATAAGATCCTGGCCTCAGGAATGCTGAGTGTCTCCCTTTATAATTCTCCATCTCCCAGCCAACAAACCTTGAGGTAGATCCATGCCCTTGAACCGACAGCAGCAGTGCTATTAAAGAAATCTGATTACAAAGAAGAGAAGTGAAAGAATCTATTTTTCATTAAATGCTGCTTGTTTCAAAGTGGGAACATTTCCTGAGTGTCTGGGGAGCTGCTGTTTTCTGTGGGAGATTCTGATCTTAAAAATCAGAAAAGTTTCCATATAAGGCAGAAATCATTATTTTCAGAGCTTAGGGCCAATTTATATTTGCAGAGAAGAGATTTTTGTCCTAGAAGTTTATTTAACAAGCAGTCATTGAGCACTGATGGTGAACCAGCTGTCATTCTGGGTACTTGAAGGCTTCGGAAGGGTAATAAAATCGTTCTAATGAGGTGAGACGATATAGATTGTTATCTGTTGTTTCATCATCGTTTATGCACTTGGTTGCCTGTTGAGAACCTGCACGTATCAGGCCTGGCTAGGCACTGACAGTGCACTAGTGAACAGCACAGTGTGGATCCCTGTCTTCCAGAAACTTCCAGTCTGGCGGGTATGACAAGGATCAGTGGGGGTCTGGGGATGCCCTACTGGGGGTCGACTGGAGTGGTTTTTATTCATGTAGTCTTTATTCCTGAAAATGCTCGTCATTGGTCACCTGGCATGGTGGTGGGAGGGTGGAGAAGGGATTTTTCCTCCATTATCCATTAGTACCCTGAGGTGGATGTTAGCTGGGAGCTTGTAGGTGTGCAGGAATGGACTCAAACCCAGGGTATTTTATTTGGGTTGTTTCACATTTTGGCTGTTATGAATAATAATGCTATGAACATTAGTGAACAAGTTTTTGTACGGATGTATGTCTTATTTGTGTGTGTGTGTGTGTGTGTGTGTGTGTGTGTATATACTTGGGAGTAGAATTGCTGGGTCATAGGGTAACTCTTTTTAACCTCTTGAGGGACTACCAGAATGTTCCAGAGGGTCTGCACCATTTTATATTCCACAGCCATTTGTAAGGATTCCAGTATCTCCACATTTTAGTCAACACTCGGTATTATCTAGCTCTAGATTATAGCCATCCTGTTGGGTCTGAAGAGTTCCAGACTGTTTTCACAAAGTCAGAGCATATTTAAAACATGATTGATTCCAAGATGCAGGAGTACCTGTGGAAGTCAGAATCCAGGAACTTTTTCCTGTGACACTGGTCTGCCCTGGCCTGAGAACTACCTCCCTCCTCACTCGTCATGGAAGCTAAGCAGGCCCTGCAATTCCTCAGTGGGTTCCCGGATCTCAAGTGAGGTTATCTGGAGGCCCACTGAGAACTAACCTTCTGCTGTCTCCTCTTGTCTTCCAGCGATTCACGAGTTCCCCACAGACCTGTTCTCCAATAAGGAGCGACAGCATGGAGCCATCCTGCTGCACATCCTCGGTGTAAGTGGTCCTCCGGTGCGGCGTCCCTAGACTTCGATGGGCACAGCCTGTCTACACGGTGCCTGTGTCTGCACAGTGCCATGGCATGTCTGAGATCTCATTTAGTCCTTGCAATGGCCCTGTGAGGAGAAGGAATATGGGATCATTCTACCTACAAAGAAACATTGCCTTAAGTATGTTGGGTAATAGGTCATTAGGTGGTACAGTGGTTAAGGTGCTAGATTCCCACATGGCCAACCCTGGTTCACGTCCCAGGCCCTGTGGCCTGAAAATATGCTGGATCCATGTGTACCCAAATCCCAAGAGGAGGATGGAGAAGAAGAAGGGATTGTGGTGTGGCCATCTCCTCTGGGGGGGGGGGGTTGATTTCTCACTTTTCCTCTCACTGTCTCTGTTTCTCTCCAGAGAGAGCATATGCCCTTTGGCAAAAAACCTTTAAAAAATAATAAGTTGGGTACCAGCAGTTGGCATGATGGCTATGTCGCTGGATTCCCATGTAGTCGACCACGGTTTGAGACCCGGACCCAGTGGCTTAAACTCATGCCGGGTGCATGTGCGTGTGTGCCCAAGGTCCCAAAAGGAGAATGGAGGAGAAGGGATTACGGTGTGGCCATCCTCCCTTGGGGGGTGACTTCTCACTTTCTGTCTCTCTGTCTCTCTTTGTCTTTCTGGCGAGCGCACATGCCTGATAGCAAAACCTCTTCAAAAAATATATATATAAATAATAATAATAATAATAATAATAATAAGTAGGTAACAGGCCAGCAGGTGGCGTGGTGATGATGCCGGATTCCCACATGGCTCACCATGGTTCACGTCCTAGACCCAGTTGCTTAAAAACATGCTGGGCATGTGTGTGTGTGTGTACATGCCCAAATCCCAAGAAGAGAATGGAGAAGGGATTGTGGCATGGGCATCCGTAGGGGGATGATTTCTCAGTTTCTCTCTCTCTCTGGTTCTCTCCAATGAACACATACACCCTATGGCAAAAATAAATAAATTTTTTAACTAAAAAATAAATAAATGTGTTAGATGACTGACCTGGTGTCCTGCAGCTAGTGGCCCAGGAGCGAACAGAAGCACGTGTGTCTTTCTGGGCCTCATCTGCTTTCGTAGACTATTCCAGACGTAAAGACGAGCGAGCCAGTCCTTGCACAGCACGCAATTAGTCCTGTGTACCTGCCTGCTCCTGCTGCCCTGTGACCCTGGCCCCCTCTTACCACTTTCACATAACCACAGTTTGAAACTTTGCTGCACTGTTCAAACTTCGCTCTATACTCAGATGGGCCTGGCTGACAAGTGGCGACATTCATGTAGCCCTTCCAAAAGGAGTCATGGGTGCAAGCCTTCATTGTAGATCACTCCTTGTGGTGGAGTAGGTAGACCACAGCCCCAGATGGATCAGGGTCACTTCCTGGTTTTTGTCATTGAAACACAGTTACCTCATCTCTCCATGATCCGTGACTACTGTTGTGTTTCCATGGCAGACCTGAGTAGTTGCACCAAGTACTACATGGCCCACAGAGCCATAAATAGTTACTGTCTGGCCCACAGCAAAAGTTTGCCGACCGTCGTATGGTGTGGGGAGCAGAGGGTGGTCAAGGTTGGCTTTTCTCTTTGGATCAAGCCCAGCACATTTCCCTCTGTTCAGCTTTCCCAGTCACCAGCTCCATCTGCTCATGCATTTAAATCCAACCCGGTATTAATCTTTGCGAGAGATAATTAAGAAAGTGAAATCTGGGATTCTCGCATAGATAATTACAACCAGAGAATAATGAATGAGTGGTTTTAATTAATAGGATAAACTACTAATGAAAATCTAGGTTAGAATGAGGGTTGTCGGCAAATTTGAACGACAAGCTGTGTATTACTTCTGTAATAGAGTTACTATCTTTTGCGAAGGGGGTGTAGACGTGGCTAATTAGTTCTATATTCTGTGCGGCTGTCTCATGAAAGTCTTGGCATCACTGAGATGGAACCTCCTTTGCTAAGCCTAAGTGCTGGTTGAGGAATTTTGCAGGAGCCTTTAGAACAGGAGGTACCAAACTATGGCTGGAAGGCCAAATCTAGCCCAGCCTGTTTCTTTTATCTTTTTAAAAAATTTCCAGAAAGCATGTGTGATCACCAGAGAGAGACAGAGACAGAGACATAGAGAGAGCATATTCCCCAATGGGATGTGGTCACGCTGCAATTCCTTCTCCATCTCTCCATGCTGGTGGATTTTGAACACATATGCACATATACCTAGTATGTATTTTTCAAGCTGCTGGGTCTGGGATTTGAACCACACAGTTGGCCATGTGGGATCTGGCTTCTGTATCCACTACATCACAGGGCTAGCCCCCACCACCTGTTTTTGTAAGTTTTGCTGGAACATGCCACCCATCCCAAGGCTGCTTTTGTCTACAGCAGTAGGTATGATGGACAGAGACCTTGTGGGCTGCAAAGCCTAAAATATTACTGCCTGGCCCTTTATCTTGGTCCTTCTTTTCGTGGCTGTGTTTCTGAGGGTGTCAGAGGAGAGACAGGCTCTTTGGCCTCATGGGACACCCTTTGCCTGGGAGGTGATGTTGGGGGCAATTGCTGTGGGTGTAAATTCAAGTTAGAATGCTGAGATCATTGTGGGGCCCCTCTCACTTTGCTCTCTTCCATTTAACCACACCCCCACTATTTGTCTTCATTTCTCCCTCAAAAGGTCATGAGTGAAATTGGGGACAGTCACACCTTGACTTTGGTAGACCCCTGCCTCAGATGCCTTGGCCATAGCTGTTTGTGAAGTTGTCAAGTGTGACACTGTTTGGCCAAAGCAGCCTGGTCTTTCTTACAAACTAGACATCTGTCTTGTTTCTTCTCTGAAGGAGGGAGTGGCTGGGCTCAGTGCAGGCGTTAACCCATCTCCTGTCCATGGGTCTTAGTCCCTGCCTCTCCCTCCAGCCTCACATTCTCCGTTCCCACCTCCCTCACTCTGTCCTGCCTGTGGTTCCTCAAATGCCCCAAGCTCACTGTGGTCCCGGGGCCTTTGCCAACTCCTGGGAGTTAGAGATACTATGTTTACCTGTTTGCTCCTTTGTCCCATATAAGGTATGTGTCAAGTGTGTTCTCAAGGCTTATGATAGCGCTTGGCACATGGAGCAAGGTCAGGAAACCATGCCGAGTACCAAATGGATGGACAGGACAGGAGGAGGTTCCAGATGCAAAACCATTTTGTAACCACTTTCTCACTCCATCATCACAGATAAAGAAACAGACCTAGGGATGTAGCCAAAAACACATTTGCCAAATGAGTCCCAGAATCAGCGTTAGCACCTGGACTCTGTCCCACGGACATCCCAGTGTGAGTGGCCTGAGTGCCAGCGTCAGGTAGTTCCCCCGGGAATGCTGGTTTGCAAGATGCCAACTGTTTTGAAAGGGGGTGGGCAGAAAATAACAGGAAATGGTGCCTTTACTCAAAATAAATGGGGTGTCTTAGTCTTATGGCATTGCTAACAGCAGTACCAGGGTGAGTTATAAAGGAATAGAAGTTTGATAACTCTCAGTTCTGGAGGCAGGAAAGTCCACATACATCAATGGTAGGAGGTGGAGCCTGTCCATGCGGCCTCCTCTGTGCCCATCTGGTCTTATTCCCTCTGCTTATAAACCTGCCGTAACTCAACATAGTTGCCCACCCTGATGACATTAGCACACCCAAACACCTTGCCTGAGACCATGAAGGGATCGTGTTTTCGCTGAACACTGACAGTATAATCAAGTCCCAATAGATGTATTTCTGGGGAACATTCAATCACTGGCCACTCAGACCAAATTCCATAGCTTGAAACTTTGGGGGACAGACCATGATCCAAACCAGAACAGGTAGCAAGTCGGCAGTATCATCTTAAACCCTTAAAATGGTGATTCTAAGTGCTTTCCTTCTTCACCCTCAGGGTCAGATTCTCCTTCAGAGGATAGACCCTTTTACTAGGAAAGACAGCTGTAATAAATAGCCTTGATTTGATCTTTATGCACTTCACACATTCTCTACAAAAGCCATATTGTGTACTATAGAGATGTACAACAACTAAATGTGAATAAGAAATCATAAAATTAAAAAAAAAGAAGAGATATTAGAGCTAGGAAAAACATGTATTTCCTACTGTACTCTCAAACTCTGCTTCACCTCTGTGCCTTCAAATATGTGTGAGATTCCTCGCCCCCAAAACCTAGCAGTTTTCCAGCAGACTTCAACTTTCAGTTCTGACACGTCTCCCTGGAGAGGGTCTCCCAGGTAGAGGGCTTAGTTAGATTTCCCAAGTGGAGGGCCCAGTCCCACAAGACTGTGTCCTATTTCAAATGCCAATTATAAGCCCCAGTTTGTGACCTGTGCTTCTGTGTAGTGACCCCAACTCTAAATCGAGGATTCTCATGACACCCCTCTTGGGTTCAGCGAACTTGCTAGAGTGGGTCACAGGATTCAGGGAAACCCCTTACTCCCAGTTACCCGTTTACAAAAAGATGTCGCAAAGGACCCAGATGAAGAGAGGCAGAGGGCAAGGCATGTGGGGAGGGGCGTGAAATCCCCTGCCATCCCTGGGCTGGCCACCCTTCAGGAGCCTCCGTGTGTTCAGTTATCTGGAAGCTCTCCAAACCCTGTTTTTTTGTTTGGGTTTGTTTTTGGTTTTAATGGAGGCTTCATTACACAGACATGACTTCATTACACAGTCCCTGGCCCGTGGCAGTCAGCTCTACCTTCAGCCCCTCTCCCCTCCCCAGAGGTTGGAAGACGGCACAGTCTCAAACTCTCTAATCCTGCCTTAGTCTTTCTGGTGACCGTCCCCCCATCCTGCAGTTACCTAGGGGTCCCCAGTCGCCAGTCACCTCATTAGCATACAGAAAGCACTCTATCCCTCCTGAACCTCCAGGATTTCACCAGCTGTGTGCCAGGAACCAAGGACAGAGACCAAATATGAAGGGACTTCAACAAAGTCGTAGAAAATTAGAATTAAACTGAGTTTATTTTGATGCCAAGAAAAAAATAATTGAATCCATGCACAGTATTTTTCATAATACACATTTTCCATCAACTCTTTAAATACCTCTCATAAATATTCCTTGTCATATCACAATTATCACAAGAGAAGAACCTAAGACTGTGTGGCCTGAGTTCTAGTTCCCTTTTGCTATTCAGCATGTTATTTCTCCTCTCTGGGCCTCAGTGTCCCCATCTGTCAGGGAGGGGATGGAGGGAGCAGACCCCCACAGTGCTGGAGTTTTCCTCTGAGCCTTCCCTGTCTCCCTAGCCTATGGGCAACCTGGTTGTGGGTAACAGGCCTTCAGCAGCTACCGCAGGTGTCCTGCTGACCCTGTCTGCTTCCTTTGCAGGCTCTGTACATGTTCTACGCCTTGGCCATAGTGTGCGATGACTTCTTCGTCCCGTCTCTAGAGAAGATCTGCGAGGTAGGCGGGAGAAGTGAAGCCTGAGGGGTCGGGGTACTGAGAACACGTGGCATGTGAGTGGCAGGCCAAGAAGGCCAGGACTGGAATGGAGACCACTCTGGTGCCAGCGGCTGTCATACCCACCACTTTGTGTCTGTCCTACGGCAAAGCCTCACCCTGAAACTGCTGAATTAGTGTGGGCAGGTGGCATCCTCTCTCAGAGTGTGGCAGAAGAAAACCCTCTCGGCATGAAACCATTCCCCAGCACCTCTGGTTCCATGCGGGCCGTGGGCAGGTGTGCCAAACCCAAGCAGCAACCTGGGTGGGAGCGTTGCTCATTCCCCGCTATAGGTGGCAGGTAGCAGGTGGGTTCTGTGCCCATATCCCTGGGAGGGTGCAGAGCTGCAAAGGGAAAGACTTCCTTTTGTCTTAACCTTTGCAGGCTGACTTTTTCTCCCTTTATTTCATGAATTTTTATTTTCTTCTATTATTTGTCCCTGCTCTGTCTTCTCTCCTTACCCTTGCCTTCTAGTCAGGGGAGGAGAACTACCTCTGTATGAAGTACCTGTCTGCAGACTGCTCAGGGCTATGCCACCCCATGCCCCGTGAAATCTCCCACTCTCTGTGGCTGCATGGTTGGGCTGACACTTGGTGCTGGGCACATGGGTGTTAGGGGCAGGAGCTTGCCATGACTGGACTGCTGTTGGACACCGCTTAGGGAGTTTCGTGCCACTGCAGAATAGGTGCTGGCTGCTCTGGGGCTGGGTCCCCCAAACGTGACCTGGAACATGTGTGCAAAGGCCTTCCTCTCTCCCTTGCCCCCTTACTCCTCGCCCACTCAGATGCACCTTCACGGAGACACGTGTCAGTAAGAGGATGGAGCTGGAGGAAGAGTGGGAGAGACTGTCAGGAAGTGACTTTGGGCATGTCAGTGCAGGCGGCTCCTCCCAGAGACCCTGTGCAGTGGTGTGCTGGGGGTGGTAGTTCCTACACCTGTTCTGTGCTGCTTCCGCCCTCTGGAGGAGCCCTTGGAAAGAATGCAGACAACTAGGCCTTGCTGTGTACACCCAGGCGCCCAGTAGGCAGAGAGCTTGGGGAGACCACAGCAACAGGGTTGAGAGGTTAAGAGAAACCCGTGGAAGGTAGGTGACTCACAGCACGGGACTTTAGACAGTGGAGATGTCAGATATTCTGGGGGTTACCTATATTCCCAAGGATGCAGAGGTCAGAGGTGTGATGGTCTTAACCCTACAGGTAGGTCTGATGTGAGGAGCTCAGGGAGGGAGAGCAAAGGATGGGGGAGCCAAGGGAAGGGAGGGTACATCAGTGCTGATGAGAATCCTAGGAATGCTTCATGGAGGACGTGGCACTTGATCCAGACTTTGGAAGTGGGAAGGATTTCAGCAAGCAGAGATAGAGGGGAGGAGCATTCAGAAGGATGACCCAGGGGAAGGCAGGGAGAAGGCAGGATGGGAGGTAATGCCGCTTGGCTTTTGTGAAGAGTTTCCTGAGATGCTCTGGGGGCGGATCCTCTTCTGAAGACCCTTCCTGGGTGGTGAGGTAGGGAGGCCAGGCTCCTGCCCTATGCCTCTGTGCTGTGTCCACACCCTGCCTCCGTCAAGCCTGGAGCAAGGGCCTTCTGAGGACCCCTTCTGCAGCTGGCAGGCAGAGGGGAAGCCATGCTGGTTCTAGGATTCCTGTGGCTTCAGAGCCTAGGGCTGCCCAGGGGCACTTTGGGAGGTGGGGCTAGAAGACAGACATGGTGGTATCCAGGTGTACCCCCCACCTCATGGTTTCTCCAAGCACCGAAATGCCCCAGAAAGTGGGCCCCCAAGGCCAGAGCATGCCCTGAGGTGTGCTGACTCACCTTGGAAATGGGGCCATCTTTGTGAGCAGCTGGACGCTGGGCTCATCATGGAGGGGGCCTTCTGGAAGGAATGAAGACCGAGGCCATGTTTTAGGGCCTCCGGGTCTTCTCAGAGGGGCCCTTGGTAACCATAGCCTGCCGGAGGCTAGACTAATGGGCTTGCTGAGTGCTACTGCATACCAGGCCCCGTTCTGGGCACTGGAACCAAAAGATGGGGACAGCCATCCCTGTTCGCCTCATCAGTGGGGAAGGCAAGGGGTGGCCACAACCCCTGGTGCAGTTGTATTTTAGTCATGGCGGAGGAACATGGCTGGCCCTGGGAGGAGACCTGAGAAGCTTCACCAAGGTGGTGGTATTTCTCCAGGGACTCCCATGGGGAAGGGGACTCTGAGTTGAAGGCCTGGCAGAGGGCGGGGGTGCTCAGGGCCCAGGGAGGAGCTTGGTGCAGCTCCAGCACTATTCCCTGGGCTCTACTGGGCTGCCGGGATCCCATCCTGACGGCTTGTGGTCACCTCTGTTTCAGAAACTCCATCTGAGCGAAGATGTGGCAGGAGCCACCTTCATGGCTGCAGGAAGCTCGACACCCGAGCTGTTTGCTTCTGTGATTGGTAAGGAACCCCTTGCAGGCCGACACAGGGACAGAGCCCTCAGGTCCTGAGCATGGAGCTTCTGTTTTCTCCTTGGTAAAATGGGAGGCTTGGAAGATGGAAAGTATGTTTCCTTCGGCAGTGGGGTGGAGTGGAATGCTAAAGGGCATGGGGTTTCTTTCTGGGGTGGTGAAATGTTCTAACATTTGACCATGGGGTTGGCTGCACAATTCTGTGAATGTGCTGAGGCCACTGAACCAGATACATTTAACGGCTGAGCTTTGTGGCATGGAATTATAGGAGGGGGGGGGGGGTCTTCGAAAAGTTTGTGGAAACTGTATATTGTGAAAAATCTTTGTATGGATTTCAAACTTCACCAAAATAATTCCACTTTTTAATAAACATTTTAAAATCCTTCCACATCTCTAGAAAGCCCCTTAAGACGGTGGGAGGATGAGAGCAGCTGCTGTCCTGAATGCACCATGCCCTCTCTGGCTCTGCCCCTCTGCTACCTTGTGGATGGGTGTTCCTTGACAGTCAGAGCAGCTTCCCTGCAGCAGGGGATACTGGGGAAGGGGCGTGGCCTAGGGCCATGCAGCGAGGGCCAGGATTTGTGCTTTTCCCTTTCTAGGCGTGTTCATCACCCATGGAGATGTCGGGGTGGGGACCATCGTGGGCTCAGCTGTGTTCAACATTCTGTGCATAATTGGAGTGTGTGGATTGTTCGCGGGACAGGTCGGTGGCTGCTGGCTGGCAGGTGTCCTGTGTGAGGGACAAGGTCAGGTGGCAGAGGGTGTGCAAGGCACAGTTGGCAGTAGAGTCTACCAGGGTCAGCCTCGACTTTGCACACTTGAGCCATTTCCCTTTCCCACCCCTGGGTCCAATACCTGGGTCCTGAGAGGCACACATGGCCAGGCTAGGGGTGGGCATTCATCCTGCAGTCATTGAAGAGGTGCTTCCTGTAGCCCGGCCCTGAACTAGATTCTGAACTGCGTGGGGCCTGGCTTTGATCTCCCCAGTGGAGCCTGAGATTGGAGGTTGCTGGTGCCCTGCTGGGTGTCTTCAGAGCTGTAGGGGGTCACACTTGACCTCAGAGGGACAGCCTCATGGTGCAGCCCTGCCTCGCTGAAGCAGGTGGAGGTACTTACACTGGGAGGTATGAGGATGGGGAGAGAGGGAGCCTCTGGTCTCCGCCCCGACAGATGTCCTGTGTCCTGCTGTGAGACACACACTGTCGGTACCTTACCCCCATCACTGAGGACATGCCTGGTTTCATTCAAACATAATGGCGAGCAAGGGGTGGCACTGTTAGGGGGACCTCCCTGGGCATGTCCTTGTACCTGTGGCCCCACCCTATCCCTGACCAATCGCAGCTGTACTGACACTCCCTGCCCGGCAGGTGGTCCGGCTGACGTGGTGGGCTGTGTGCCGAGACTCCGTGTACTACACCCTCTCTGTCATCGTGCTCATCGCGGTGAGTCACCTCCTGCCCTGTGAAGGCACGGGGCCCCTGCCCTTCTTTGGTCCTGGCACTGTACCCAGGGAGCTCATAGCAGTGGCATGTGTGGGCTGTTCACTTGGTCATAATGGCCAAACCCCTTCCCACCACCACTGTGCCTTCCTTCCCCCAAAATCTCAGACCCGACACATCGGTCTGAGCAAATCCAAGGACCACTCAAAGGCAGTAGGGCTTGGAAAAAGCCAAGGCACTTGTCCATGGTCCGCACAGTTAAGCTGAAGCACCTTGCTCATCTGAGGCCCTCCAGGTCCCCACGTAGGCCTGTATCCTCGTCAGCAGACCCACTTGCAAGAAGCAGAGTGCAGGAAAGAGAGGGCCAGCTTGGTGCAGTCAAGGTGGCAGCTAAGAGCAAGAGAGGAGCAAAGGAAGAAAAGGAGAGAAACCAAACAGGGCCCCCAAGAGTGGGATGACCTCTTGGCAGAACATAGCGAGGCATACGGCACCATCAGACTGCTGCCGAGGACGTGTCATCCAAGGGAGCAGTTTCAGTCCCAAAGAGCTTCAAAGTAGTGGCATGAGGGCAGGTGTAAGTGGTCCACCCAGACCTCAGGGTGTCTAATAGGCCTGAGTGACAGTTCTTAATTTTATCAAACCTAGAACCAATTTTCTGTGAAATCCATGTCTCTTGTATTCATCATCTGTTGCTGTGTAACAAATTTCCCCAAAATTCATCAGCTTAAACACAGATGTTCATCACTCAATTTTCTGTGAAATCCATGTCTCTTGTATTTGTCATCTATTGCTGTGTAACAAATTTCCCCAAAATTCAGCAGCTTAAACACAGATGTTCATCACAGCCTGTTTTCTGTGCATCAGAAAGTTTAGCTGTGACTTCTGGGTCAGGATCTCTTATGAGGCTGCACTTAAGGTGGCAGCCAGGCTGGAAGCCTCTCAGGGTTTGTCAGGATGGGGATCCACTTTCAGGACACTCATGTGGCCGTGGGCAGGCCTCAAGGGCAGGCTCCCTTACAGTGCTGCTCACAGTGCAGCAGCAGGCCTCCCTCAGTACCTAGTGAGAAGGCGCCATGTAGGAAGCCTTAGTCTTTGTAACCTAATCTTGAAAATGGCATCCTATGTCGCATTCTGTTTGTTAGAAGGCCGTTACTCAAGGAAAGTGTGAAGGCCAGAGGCTGCCTGCCACACCCTGAAAATGAAATTCACAGATAAAATAACATGCTAAACACAATTTAAAACAAACAAACAAACAAAACACTATAATGCCCAAATTATGATATTAAGGCGAAATAATGGTAATTTACAATAAGAGCGTACATGTTGCAGTATGTCAGTGTTTTGGTACGAAGACACTAGAAGATCCCGTGAGGTAAGGGTTGCCCCTCTTGAGGAAATCCCCGAGCCTGTCCACTTCAAACACAGACGGATGTAATCGGGTCGTCGGGCTGGTGATGAAGACCAGTGGACGATGCAGACATCCACGATGTATCTTCCAAAATAATGCCAGACTCCTGGCAGAATCCTAAACAGAGCAAAGTATAATCATTGTGTATTTACTTGACAGTCGTCTTACTAAAAAGTTAAGTATTGATTAAAACCACTTTGATTTCTAAATTGAGGTAAGTCTGAGGCTCAGGTCATTGGCTTTCAGTTGCCTGAATAGGTACCAGGGCATTTAAGAGTAAATGTGCCAGAGAGAAAAACTTCATCCGGTAGGACTGTCTCATGTGCTTTATGCTGTCTAGTGTCCCTGTCCTCCCCTGGCTCTTAATGCCAGTATCCCTTCATTGAGTTGTAAAAACTAAAAAAATTCCTCATAAATGTCCCCTGTGGCCCCTTACAGTCAGGAGAGGGGTACCATGAGCCCAAGTCCAAATAGCAACCCCTTGGCCTCTCCTGGCACCACACACAGGGACCCTTGTGTCTCCAAGGTCAGACCAGTGGGAGCAGCCTGTCCACCCCCCTCTGCACCTCCCAACCATGTGGGTGGCTGCAGGAGGCCTCCCCTGGATCACGGAAGCAGCACATTCGTGTCTAGAACTGAAGATGCTGGGTGGGGCTGTTGAGTGTTTAGTCGGTGTTCACTAGAGAAATAGAACTAATAGGATCTAAATAAATAATAGACAGGAGGGGATTTACTAGAGCAATCAGTTCATGCAGTTATGGATACAGAGAAGACCCATCATATGCTGTCTGCAAGATGAAGAACCAAGGAATCCAGCAGTATGCCTCAGTCCAAAGGCCTGTGAACCCAGGGGGCTGCTGGTGCAAGTTCCATGGTCATCAGAACCTGGAGTTCTGATTTCCAAGGGCAGGAGAAGAAGGATGTTCCAGCTCTAGAAGAGAGAGAGAAGATAAATCATCTTTCTTCTGTCTTTTTGTTTTATCTAAGCCCTCAAGTGATTGGATAGTACCCACCATATTGAGGGTAAACCTTCCTGGGTTCACTGACTCATATGCCAGTCTCTTCCAGGAATACCCTCACAGTCACACCCAGAAATAATGCTTTACCAGCTATCTGGGTATCCCTTAGCCCAGTCAAGTTGACACCTAAAATGAACCTTCACGTTAAACATGTCAGTATCTCCACTATCATCCCCAGCCTCTCTTAAAATTATGCAAGCTAAACCTTGTCTTTTGGAGTTTCTAAAGTGTTTACTCTTTATTTTTAAGAAAATGAACCACCCTACACACACACACACACACACACACACACACACATACAGCCTTATATTTGTAAGTATCTTTTCAGTCTTTGAGATTCCTTGAGTTTAGTAACTCTCTTCTGTTAATGGGGAGGTAGAGGGCTTCAACTAGGTTAGGCCCCAGAAGCTACTTGGACTGTAACAAAGCGATCTAAATAAATAATAGACAGGAGGGGATTTACTAGAGCAATCAGTTCATGCAGTTATGGATACAGAGAAGACCCATCATATGCTGTCTGCAAGATGAAGAACCAAGGAATCCAGCAGTATGCCTCAGTCCAAAGGCCTGTGAACCCAGGGGGCTGCTGGTGCAAGTTCCATGGTCATCAGAACCTGGAGTTCTGATTTCCAAGGGCAGGAGAAGAAGGATGTTCCAGCTCTAGAAGAGAGAGAGAAGATAAATCATCTTTCTTCTGTCTTTTTGTTTTATCTAAGCCCTCAAGTGATTGGATAGTACCCACCATATTGAGGGTAAACCTTCCTGGGTTCACTGACTCATATGCCAGTCTCTTCCAGGAATACCCTCACAGTCACACCCAGAAATAATGCTTTACCAGCTATCTGGGTATCCCTTAGCCCAGTCAAGTTGACACCTAAAATGAACCTTCACGTTAAACATGTCAGTATCTCCACTATCATCCCCAGCCTCTCTTAAAATTATGCAAGCTAAACCTTGTCTTTTGGAGTTTCTAAAGTGTTTACTCTTTATTTTTAAGAAAATGAACCACCCTACACACACACACACACACACACACACACACACACACATACAGCCTTATATTTGTAAGTATCTTTTCAGTCTTTGAGATTCCTTGAGTTTAGTAACTCTCTTCTGTTAATGGGGAGGTAGAGGGCTTCAACTAGGTTAGGCCCCAGAAGCTACTTGGACTGTAACAAAGCACATGCCATCTCTCTTGGGATAATCCCAGTGAGGCAGGACACATGTTTTGACATCTTACAGGCCCAGGTTCGAACTAAAGAAAGGTCATCTTCTGCCATTTAAAAATTCGGAAGTGGCAAGAAGAGTCCAGCTTTACTGTAAGGCATGTAAAACGGCCAATAAGAGTTGTCTCTGGGTGCTTAGGGGGTCTGTGATTGTTCTTTTGGAGTAAATATGTGTCCCCGTAACCTTTGTTTCTTTTGCTTTCCAGTTCATCTATGATGAAAAAATTGTGTGGTAAGTTTTTAAAGTTTAATTTTTGTTTTAATTTTTGTTTTTGTTTTGTTGTTGTTTTAGGTATCCTTGTTTATTGGGTTTACTGAATCTTTCTAAAAATTATTTTGACAAACATAAGCTTATTAACTTTGTAAATAGAAAGGGTATAATTTGAAGTAATTATGCCTTTATTCACCCTTTCAAAGTGAGAAAAATTATTCCCCTTAATATTCCTACCCTGCCAGATATCAAGATACATCATCAATCTGAGATCATGACAATACTCCAGTATTTTGCATAATGGTAAACATAGCCAGTAATGGGTGTATTTCCGGGATGAAAGATATGCCTGATAAGGAAGTAAGTTGGGGATGGGGTCTTAGATGATACAAGGACAACTGGGAATCAATATATAACAGTGTAATGTCAGATCCCTACCTCACACCTTATACAAGAACTAATTCCAAGTGAATGAAAGATCTTACTATAAATTTTTTAAAATTCAGAAGAAAAATATAGGGGCTCATCTTTATGACACTGTGGTAGGAGTTGATTTATTAATTAAGATACATAAAGCACACAGTTCTGAGAAACAGACTATTATTTCCACTCCTTTTATAGGGTATGAATGCATCTTACATTCATAAGTTATCAAATTCCCTGGTCATTGACAGTGATTTAAAAAGTGACTGTGTGGTTGTTCATGGGACTATATACAGGCAGTTAGGTTGAGAACATGAGCTGCCTAATATGAGTGGCTACCTGCTGCAGGCTCAGGGAATCCTGAGCCTATTCAGTCCTGGCCCCTCACCCATGGTGTGACCCAGGAGAGTCTCTCCACTCCTGGGTGTTGCTCTCCTCATCTACAGATGGGATTGGTGGTGGTGGTGAAGTGGCTCTCCTTATCTATGGGCTCTATGTCAACAAAGGAGGAGCTCCCAGATGACTGGGATTTCAGCCAGGGTCAGACAGGACTTAGCACATATTTGTGAGATGAACAAACAAACTAAACTTGTGTGATTCCTCGGGGGCTTGTAGTCAGAGGTATAGACATCTCCACAGCTCATGGGGTTGGGCTGCATCCATGAGAGAGCAGTAATGATGTGTTCCAGAAAGACCTTCAGCCCCACCCCACCTGCACTGCCCAGGGTATTGCCCAGGAGGGACCATGCACTGCAGCCTGCCCACCTCTGTATCCGGTCACCCTGGAGACCTAGTTCCTTTCCACCTGCACTCATAGCCTCTCTAGTCCCCAACCACGATTCATTTTAGGTGACCATATGGCCCTTGGAGTCAAGTTTATGTGACTCCCTGAGCCCTGGCCCTTCCTGTTCTAGGTAGCTCCTAGGACTCTAGGGGCTCCACTGAGTCCTGCAGACCCCTAAGGTTGAAAAGAGCCCTCCTTAGCCTCTTGTCAGTTACCAGGAGGCTCTGAGGGGGGGCATCCACAGTCGGTGTCTTGCCCACATGCCTGTGTCCTGAGCCAGTCTCTGGGGACGGGAAGGTACAGACATCCTCCTGTCCCCTGCACCGTCCCCTAACCTGTTCAACCCCAGGGGTGGGGCCTCCCGAGCTCTAACCACAGTCTCCTTTCTCTCTTTGAGGTGGGAAGGCCTGGTGCTCATCATCCTCTATGTGTTTTATATTCTGATTATGAAGTAAGTGACCTTCGCTTCTCCCCTGGGCCACGTGATGCCTTGTTCCACATCCCGTCTGGCCTTTGGCTAGAGCAGCGAGAACCCTCAGTCAGATCTTACAGTCGCTTTGAGTCAGCTGTGGTTCTCCAGTGGATGCACTGCCGGGATGGTCAGTGTTGGGTGGGCTGTTCAGGCACTGTTCTGTGGGTGCTGCCCAGACCCAGGCATGGAGCCATTGTGGGTGGGGGGTGAATGGAGACTAAGTCTGATTCCCAGGTGAGTATCAGGCAAGAACCTCTGTTCACCTGCCCTGGGAGGCCTCCCCCAGGTAATTGCCTCTTTTTCTGGTTTCAAAAAAATCTCTTGATAATTTAATATCACCCTTCTAAAAAGTCAGGCAGTGTAACTTCTCCAGGCTTCACAAGATGCCCAGTCTCAGGGTCATTGCCTTCCACAACCCTGGATGGTGCCACTCATGGGTCTGAGGATGCAAACACTGTGTCCGGGGCTGTGCGACCTAGAGCCTCTCTAAGGCTGCCTGGGCGGAACCAGCTCAAAGCTACCCCTGAGGGATACTCTTCAGCCTTAAAAAGGGATGAGGTTCTGACACATGCTACAGTGGGGGTGAATCCTGGAAACATGCCCGGGGAAGAAGCCAACCCCAGAAGGACAAATGCATGATTCCCGTTACATGAGGGGTCTAAAACGGTCAAATCTGTAGAGATGGAACATAGATTAGAGGCTAGCGGGGGGCAGAAGGGAGGGAGTAGTGAGGAGCTATTGGTTAATCGGTACAGGTTTCTGGGATGATGAGAAAGATCTGGAAACAGTGGTGATCATTGCACACCAGTGTGAGTGCAAGTAATCCTTCTGAATGTACACTTAGAAAGGGAACCAGTGGGCTGGCTCCATGGCCTGGTTGGTGGTTAAGGCAGCTGGATCCCGTATGGCTGATTCTGTGGTTCATGTTCCAGACCTGGTGGCTTGAAAAACATGCCAGGCTCCTCTGTGTGTGCCCAAAATCCTGAAAGAAGGGGTGAGGTGGAGAAGAAGGGATTGCAGCATGGCCATTCCCCACTGGGGATGCTTTCTCCTCTCCCTCTCTGTGTCTCTTCGGAAAGCACACACTCCGTCTAACCAAAAGAAAAAAAGGGAAAATAGTTAAAATGGTAAAGTTTATGTATTTTTCTATGTAAAAATGTGTCATGACTTTTTTGATGAACATATATATTTATATCATAAACTTACATATATATAAATATATATAAAACATTTAGCATATATATATAAAACACTCAACACATATAAATATAAATATCAATATTCCCCACCCTCCAAAAAACAAAACCAAAGCAAAAAGAACTACCTGTTAGTTGAGCGACGTTCAGGTTTATGTTCCTCCTCACACCTGCATGGGTAATTAAAAAGGAAGGGAACACTCTGGGTTATATGGGAATATAAATCCCCACATTTATATCAAACATGCATAATGCCTTATAAAAATGGATGATAAACTGTCAAACTGCAAGAGCACCATCCTTAAATAATTAATGCTCTCTCTGGGTGCGTTCTGTAGGAGCCAGCCTGAGGGTCTGTGAGATGGAGAGACGCCGTCCTCTCTCCTGGGGGGATGGCGGTGCTGGCTGTCAGCACCCCCTGCAAGGTTTGCTGCGGAGAGAGTACCGGCCTGGTAGCACCTCCTATGAGCTGCCCATGGGAGGCTGAGATCCTGTTACGAGGACAGGCTTGAACTGCCGTTGGCCCAATCATTTTCTTGGGCGGAAGGTCTGCTAAGAGAGTCCCTCAAACCCAGTAGTGCAGGTCTCTCAGGCTGCACATGCCCACTATGACTGTCAGGAATCTCAGCTCATTGGAGAAGCCAGGGCTTCCCACCTCCCTCCCCGCCCGATCTCCCAGGCCAGGCTGGCTGTGCACATGGATGGGGGTGGGAAGCCCGACAGGCTCTCCCCCACACTGAGGGCATGGGGACTCCCCTCCACGGCTCTGATCTGCCCTCTCTGACCACAGGTACAATGTGAAGATGCAGGCCTTCTTCACCATCAAACAAAAGAGCATCGCGAACGGCAACCCGGTCAGCAGCGAGCTGGAGGCTGGTAATGATTTCTGTGACGGTAGCTATGATGACCCGTCCGTGCCATTGCTGGGGCGAGGTAAGGCTGAGCAGACAGGAGTGGGGCATCTGGCATGGGAGCCACTCTCTGCTCTTGTATACCACACGGGCATGCTCATGTGCACACACACACACACACACACACACACACACACACTTTCCAGCACCCCCCCAAATTGTCACTGTCTTACCTTTGGTTACAAGCACCCCAGATAAGGAGGGAGAGTGAGCATGTGCGGTGTCACTCAAATGGGCCAGGATGGCAGGGAAGCGCCACAGGAAGGGCAAAGCTAAGAGTTGCACCCATGGGCGCATAGCTCAGCCTCCCAAGGAAGTCCCTTTGAAAACTCAGTGGTGTCTCCGATCCACAGAAGGGCCTGTGACAGGAAGCTGAGGACTTGGGGTGGCAGAGCTGGCCTGGGCCTCCCTGGGATTTCTCAAATGCCAGGCCCAGTTCTGTTCTGGAAGGACCACTGGCTCTCAGGCTGGGAATGGCTGCCCAGAGGGACAGCCAGGCCAGCAAAGGCAGCCGAGGACAGCACCCCAGGGCCCCGTGTGGAACCCTTCCCGGGCAGCCACCTTATCTCCTCAGTGCCCTGCCCCTCATCTGAGCGCTGGTGATCTGGGCCCCGGGAGCAATCCCTGAGTCATCTCGGCCTCACTGGCTGCTGGTTTTCAGGAGGGCTGCGGTGGGGGCAGCTGCTGAGAAGGGAAACGAGTCCACACGTCCCGGCCCCGCCCTTGCAGTCAGGATGCCGGCGCACCAGGCCAAGCATCCTCCTGGTAGTATGCCCGGGGCCCTGGGCTGGTCACATTCTCTTTCAGGAGAACTTGTTTGTGATGCCCACAACAGGCCATGTGGGTCCAGGGGACCTGTTCCCCTGGGCCTGGACCATCTGGGGCCATCTCTGGTCTTTCTCCTGGGGTGCTTTAGGAGGGCTTCCTCCCATGTGTGCTTTGGATGCCGTGTCCTGTCCCGTTTCAGGTAGCCCCTATGGGGAGGCACTTGCTGTAGGCGCTCCACTGGGGATGAAGCCTTCTGCAGGAGTGTAAGTGGGGTGGTGGAGACTGCAGGCCCCTGGGGCAGAGCAGGAGTCTGGCCCTGTGTGCTGAGCAGTGGACCCAGAAGAGCCGTTTCCAGGGCCACCAGTCAGCAAGGGAGGGAACGACGCTGGCCGCTGTTTGAGAGAGTAGTTTCACAGCCACAGACTGCGGCTCCCAGGTCCTCGGACAGGTCCCCATGCTCACCTGCCCAGTCATTTACCTGTGCTCCTGGGTCCTCTGGGCCTTCACAGCAAAGAAGAGAGACCTGTGTGGTGAGTTGTTCAGGCCAACAGAAGCAGGCTCTTAGTCAGGTGCCTACCCTGAGAGCTGCCCACAGGGACATGTCACAAGCCACGTATTCACCCATGGCTGACGAAGGCGGTCCATCCCTCGTGCCCTACGCGAAACTCCTCACCTGCCCCAGGGGCCTTTCCTGGCTCTCTGTGGTGGCCGCCGACATTGCTTTCTTGCCTAACAGTGGGACCTCCCCACAGGTCCATCGTGTTCCTCCGAATCCCCCAGTCTAGGGCAGTTTCTAGGGCAGTTGGAAGATAAGGCATACGATTGTCCCCAAATGCTGGGGTACAGCTGGGGAAGGAGGCAGAGCCCCACCACCCTGCACCTTCTGTCTGAGTAAATGTGTTTAAATAAAGGCCAAGGAAGAAAAAGGTCCCCAGAGGGTGCAGGAGAGAGCCTGCAAACCCGAGCCCTGGAATTGCAGAGCAGGGAGACCTAGAGGTGCAGAGTTTAGGGGGGGTCAGCCCTTGTTTTTAACTGCCCCAGAGGCTCCTAGAGGGCCCTGTGTGTGAACCTCTGCACTGTCTCCTAGATTTGACCAAGAGAAAGGAGCACTTAGGAACACCCCAGGAGGGACCGAGGAGACTGGGAGTATGGGACTCTGTCTTTCTAACGGTACTATGGTGTCTCTAGGCCGGAGATGTCAATAGAGTGTCTCTCCCCCATCCTCAGCCTCGGGGCAGGTCACTTTGACTGCCCCGCTCGTGAATCCAGGGGTTATTAGTTGGTGATTCCTTTTGAGAATGCCCACTCTCACCCAGGGTTTTGCTATTGTCAGTTTTAGTGTTTCCGATAGGAAATCAACATTTTCGTAACCTGGCATCTTGACAGGAGGCAAGAAATAGAAGACTTTCCCTA